AAATTGACCTGACTAAGGAATAGGGAAAAATAGAAGTAGGAAATCATAAATTTTCAGATAATTTTTTTTTTAAACTGACATACTGCAAACAGGTGTGGCTCTACTAAGGATGAGGTCAGTCACATTAATAGAAGAAAATGGGTCAAGAAGTAATACAATTACTGTTGGTGTCTTGCTCCAATATAAAATATCTTGAAGTTTAATTCTTAAACTAAATTTATTTCATAAATAAATTATTTGCATTTTATACAGTGAAATATTGAAATATATATTAAGAATACAGGAAAAAATAATTTAAATGAAAATAATTAAATATAATTAATTATTTCATTTTTTTTCTATCATAACCTAAAAATGAAATGAAATGGCCTGGAACTAAAAACTTATTTAATGATTTCAAAATTTACAAGTATAATGCAGTACAACATATTAAAAGATTGCATAGTAGTAAATCCTTCATTAATTTTCTCTTCTGTAAATCCATTCATTGATAGTATATGGGTCAATGATATGTTATGTACTGTGTTCTTTGGATAGGACACACAAAAATAAAATATTATATTATTAATAATGTAAAATTTTTATAAATTCATGAATTTTTACTTCCTAAGAACAAAGATTATTTATTAAAAATAAAATATAACACTAGGAAAAAAATGTCATAAAATGTATAGATACCTATTACAAATTACTACTACTACTACTATCATATTTTTTTTTTAAATATAATGTTCCTGTAACTTAATTTGATATAAAAAAAAACCCCACACTGCTGTTCTGGGGACCACGGTTTGAATTCTAATCCACTCAGAAATTTTAATGAATAGGTTGACCCTGATATGTCAGGATCAATCCACCTGATACACAGGCTCTGTCCCTTACCATCTGTCCACTTCTATTCCAAGCCTGGCAAAACCCCATAATGGACATGAAAAAAAGTCCTCTAACAGTGGAAAAAAAAAGAGTTAAAAAATAAAAATAACTTAATTCAATATGCTTTTTAAGAAAAAAAAACAGTATTTTATTTGAATGAACTTTAAGAAAAATGAAAATTTAATTAAATTGCAGACTACTAAATCAATAGATAAGAAGCAACAAAAAACTAAAATATTTTTTCAATTGTTTTCTACCTATCCATTTAGTCTGAAAGCAGATATGAAATGTTTGAAAATAATTTTTGGAATTACAGACTGTTTTCAGATTCTATCTGCAGAATTTGTTCTGTGATCATATTACATTGGCTTCAAGTAAAAGCATCTAGCTGTTTATACTGAATCAGTTACAATGCAAGCAGTTTCAGTATAAAAAAATTGAGTTAAAAAAATTAATATATTCAAAAGGAACTTTGTTTTAGATTACATAAACTATACAGTAAACTTAACTAGTTGGAAAAATATTTCAACAAATGATTCTTAGAAATTTTAACTTAGTTAAATAAACTTTTAGACATAAGATGTTTAACAGATTTTACTTGGAAGTCATATCATTAAATATTAGAATGTTAAAACACATATCAAGTTATATGAATCATTCTGTGTATTTATATTATAGTTTAAATAAACTTTTTAAAGTTTAAATTACAAAAATTTAATTAAAATAGCATAAAATTTAAAATAAATGGGTTATATTGTTCAATGAACTATAAATATTCAATATTCATTTACAGTATTTTGTACATCTTGAAAATAAATGTTTTGTAAAATCTAAGTAATTAAATTTAAATCAAATTATTCTTTATTTAATATTTTTTAAATTTTCGTTTAAAGTTGAAATTACTATTCTTTCAACCACTATTTCCCTTATTTAGCTCCTAATAGTTTTTTCTTTATCCAAAGTTAAAAAAATAAAAAATCTTTAAAAAGAAAAATGGTTTGAATCAAAACAACTTAAACATGATGATGAAATCCCTGAAAGAAGCAGATTTTTCAAAATGTTTCTTGAATTAGAGGAATTATCGGAGAAATTGTTTTCATGATCAAGATGATTATTTTAAAAAATATTAAATAAATTTATTTACTAACATATTTTGTTTTCTCTGAAACTTTTTCAACATTTCTTGTATATAATTTTATTACAACATAAATACTGAATAATACTTTTTCAGTAATGTTTATGACATTTTTATGTCTTTAAAATTGCTTTTAAACAATTGAAATTTATTTTAAAACTGCAATTCATTTGATATCAGATAAAAAAAAAACCTTTTGAAAAAAACCAGATTCTTAGTTACCGTAATTGTAATGATAATTTTTTTGGATTTTATTTAATACGTTTAAAATTTTTATGCAAATTGTTTTACATAAATCTATGTTTACCTACAGTAGGCATTCTTTTACAGCTTATTTTGTTCTCTAAATTTTTAAAAAATCTAATTTGTCTTTTTTGTACTAATGTTAATATACTAAATACGGAACCTGTTACCGGTGTAATTTTGCGTGAAAAAATTTTCACGCAAAATTATAACGGTAACAGGTTCCGTATTTAGTATTTCATCGCCGGTGTCAGAGTGAAGTTAATTTACTTAATGTTAATATTTTATTAATATCAATTGCAATGATTAATTTTGCATAAAATTGGTTAAATACTGAATTTTATGCATTAGAAATATTCCATGTATTTCTAGCTTATCAATTAACAATAATCGAATTTTGTAAAATAAATTTTAGATTATTTCACAAACTATGTGAAACTATTACATATTACATTAAAAAATTAATTTAGATATATTTAAAAAAATAAATGTAATAAATAAATAGTAATGGAATATTTGATTATATAATCATCAAATTTTTTCTTTACTTTTATAATAATGGATATCCTATTTCTTAAAATCATGCAGTGAAATTACTAGATATTTTCTGATATTAATATTCAATTTTAGTCACTTTACTTTCTTCTATAAGAAATTTTATAAAGCTTTAAATTATATGGAATCAATACAATTAAATAAAATCAAACCTGGTATTTAATTAATTTGAAAAAGTATATTGTTTCATGTAATGGATTTAACAGACATAATGTTCATTTAATGAAATTACACTATATAATACTGTATTGCAAATATTATAATATTTAAAGTTTTCAACTTTAGGTTAATAGTTTCAGACTTTCATTTAAGAAATAAAAAAGCAATTACATATAATTGTAATAACTTTATATAAAATTATGAATTTTATTATAATTACTGCAAAATACAACAGAATACTATGGTAGTTTATTATTATAATATTCTAACTTAAATTTCAAAAAAAGATAACTGCATTATTGAAAATATTAGCAACTAATTAATAAATTCATAGTAGTGTTAAATCATAAAATAAGGGAAAGTAAAATCCTTAGCATAAAATTATTATTAGCAATAATAAATATTAAATTTTATCATTGAATGTCAAATATCACTTTACGTCGTTTTAAATAAGATAATAAATATGTCATTTTTTATATTTATATTGTTTTTAATATGATATTATAATATTCATAATTTTAAAATTGACTAAACTTGGTCCCATAATGATAAATATATCATTATGGGACCACAACTACTTTTTAACTCTAAAGAAGTCAAAACATTTTTTAAAATAAAGAATTTTTCCTAACAAGAAGCAGTTGTGGATAATATATTTATCGTTTATAATTATATTTTTGTGTTATGTTCTATTTATAATATAGGAATAAATTACATTTAAAGGAAATTTTGTGTGTATATCAAGAAATTTTAATTTCCTTGAATTATCATAATGCTTAATTTTTTTACTACAGTATTTAGCTTTTGCATCAGAAATGAAAGAAAACAAGCAAATTAAATGTCATTTATTTCCTTTCATTTAGTGTTACCTCCTGTCTGGTTTTCACCCAGACAGTCCGGGAATTGACTCACTGTCCGGGTGAACTATTAATTTTGTCCGGGAATTTTGTAGAAATTGTGAAATTACAATGAAACAAAGTTCTTGAAAATATTTTTACAAATTTACACTATTTTAACAGCAAAAGAACTCGCACTCACTGAAACTCATCTGCAATTCTGCCATGTTAGTCTGTTTACACCGACGTGTGGCTTGCAACCTGTTGACCTTTTTTTTTCTTTTGCATGTATGATCGTACATGTCTCCAATATCCAATAGAGCTGAGTCATCTGTACCTGTTCTTTCTTAATTTAGGGTTACTTACATTATCCCTACACAAGTTCCTAGTCCTTAAGTGTAACTGATTTAGAACCAGCGTGCACATTATTCTTCGCATTGTAAAATGACATTGCGCATGTGTCAGGAACTTCTGTTTGAACAAACCTGACCTCTGTCTGGGTCAGCGATTTTGAAAAGGTGGCAACACTTCTTTCATTTATAATACAAAAGCTAACTAATAATAAAATAGAGATTAAAAAACTTAGTGTTTTACAAAATGTCAAAAACCATAATCACAACTTGTTTAAAAACTGTTATAATCACAACTTTTTAAGCATTTTAATTCAAATGTAAGCAATTATAAAATTTCTTCATTAAATGCTATTTACTTTTGTATAATTGAAAATTCTTAGTGATTAGATAGTATTGTTTTCAACAACCAAGACTTACTAATAAGCACATCAAAATTAGACTAATTAGACAGCCAGATGGCTAAGTGGCTTAAATGGTACCCTACTGCTCTGGAGAATGTGGAATTGGCTCTGAATGGGTTGAAAAACACCAGAAATTTTTGGGCGAGGGTCTGTCCGAATATGTTAGGCTCTGTCCCTCACTACCTGGCTGCCATATTGTGGACTTGGCCAAACCCATAATGGTCTTGCTAAAAAAGCCTCTCTTAGTGTCCACAGAGTGAAATAAAAAAAGCCAAATCATAATTGATAATTACAATTGGTCCATTAATAAAAGAAATACAAGCATTTTATTGACTATTATTAATTATTATATTTTATATAACTGTTAATAATAAAATATTTTTTAACAAAAAAAAATATTTTGTTTTTAAAAAATGCAAATCAAGAATTAAATCATTTTTTTCAGTGGAAACATAATGACTGGGATAAACATGTAACACCACAAAAAGGAATTCATTATCAATGGCCAAAACACCCAAAAACTTCTCATACTGAATACTGGAGGACTTTTCATCCACATCATAATGAAAAGGTAACATAATTTTGTTCTATATTATATGACAGATAAATTGTTCAATTCTGACTTCCTTTACAATATAATTTTTATTTTTGTTTTTGTTTTCTGACTTTAATAAATAAATCTCAAAAAATTTTAAATGATAAATATAAATTCTTGTAACAGCATTATGAAATACTAAGGAAGTGTATCAGCACAAATGACAATTAAAATTTCAGTATTTCCTCAATTCTAAAATACAATATGCATTTGGAATAAAAATTTTAAACTTTTCTTATGGAGGGAAAAGTTTTTAAATAAATAATTTTAAGTTTAGTTAAGTAACAAAAAATTGAAAAACCATACAAATGCCATAATATAGATAATATCCAGCAGCTCTATATTTATGCTCTTCTGTATATACAATAACTTTTCTTGTAATGTTGTATTGTTAATGTAATTTTGAAATGCACATTTAAAATGTTAAAAAGGAATTAAATGTTTGTTAGCAGTAAAGTTCATTTAGACTAATATGATCATTGAACAATATGTCTAAATTATCTATTAATGATCTAATCTCAATACTTCAGATTACTATTTTGGGTAAAAATGTGCATCTTTGAACTAAGAAAATACAATAAATGTTTGATTTTTCTTTAAATTAATGTAGATATCTTTTCAAAGTTAAAAGAAATATTAAAGAGAATTAATATTTTTATGAATGTAGAAAGTAAAACATACAAGTTGTATTGAGATAAAACAAATCTCACAAATAAGACTATTCAAAAACTATCAAAAACAACCAAGACTGTATATATACTTAGCTATCTTTTTATAAAATAGTATTAATGTTAAAACCTATATAAAAATAAATAAATTATTTTGCTTACTCAATAGTATCTATATTTATGTGTGAAAGGAATTTTAAATAATTGCAATATAGTTAAAAAAGCCTTAAACTCTGATATAAAATTCATACCTTATACTATTGAATAAGTAAAAACTTATTTCAAAAGAACTGCCTCATACTTAGTTTGATTTATCGTGAGGATTAATTTATGACAAATAAGATATATCTCATTTTTAAATGTAATGTATAATAGTGATAATGGAATTTAATTTTTGTGATATAGAGTAGGCTCAACTCAATTCACTTCAGAATTTAAAAAATTTAACTTACTTGTTAGTAATGGATAACAAGATTAAATAGAGGTTAATGAATAGGTTAAAAGTAACATTATGCTAATAATTATCAAATTGGTCAACTTCAGTGACAATTGCTCAAATAGAAACATTAATTCATTATAAACTTATCTTGTACAATAAAAAGATTTAACTTCTCATTAAACAAATCATATTTATACATAAATATCTTATTGGGGTGAAATTTGAAAAAACTGTAGACCTATAAATTCTCATTGTCATCCATCTGTCTGTTTTTCCTTAATCTTGAGAATGGAGTTAGACTAGATATGGAAACCTTAGGGGCAGGAGGCCCCAATTAACTATATATGAACATATGATACAAACTGGAAGTCACATTATTTCAATTCAAAAATTTCCCCCCAAAAGGTGTTAGATAAATGACTGACACAACTCTATTGTTAAAGGAAAACTATGATGCACAGAAGCAAGCCACTACTAATTTGTAATTATCTTATTTTTGCCAAATACTAATTGACAATTTTAGCTAATAGTTAATTAATTATTACATATCTAACAATTCATTTATATTTAGAATATGAATGGTGTTTTATTGTTAGCTAATTTTTCTTTTGATATTATTTTATATTATAGCTATTATATTGTTTAAATTTTATCTAATTATTTCTTTTTCAAAGAAAAAAACAGACTTCAAAGTTCATAATTACAGAAATTTTCTGACTAACTTATTGAAATACATAGCATATCTNAAAAGTGAAAAAGCATTCCGTTTTAAATAAATCAAATAAGAATATATTTTTAATTTTATATTTTTTTTTTTTGTATACAATTAATGTACATGAAAACAAAAGAAAGGGGAATTCCAGTTTCTCAATAATGCCACCTAAATTGTCTAACTGAAACAGGAATGACAGCCTCGGGGGAGGAGTAACGAGTGGCTATCTGTAACCCATACACTGTTTAGCCTCGGGGTAACTTCAGCTACCACACCGCAGACAGTCTGATATCCGGCTAGTGGCAACATCGATATAGCGCTCAGTTATGAAAGAAATTCATTTTTCAGGCGTGTTTTTATTTCTATTTATTTTTACAGTTATTGCAGTTTCTGCCAAACAAGTAAGTTTACATTGATGACAGTTTTATATTATTATAATGTCGTTAAAACTAGATTTTAACTTAGTCTCTGTCATGATAAAAAAAAAAATATATATATAGAAACGTCTATCTAATAATATTCGGAGAGAAAGGAAAATATTATTTTCGTTTAATTTATAAAAAATTTTCAATTATTTGTTCTTAAAAAGTAAAACTGAGATAATGGGTGAACGATTTGAGAAGTACTGTGCGGACAGAGAACACATTACTGTACTTAAAGCAGTCCTACTTCGTAAGAGTTTCTTTAGGTAACCTAAATTTTAAAAATTTCGTAGAGAGAGAAAAAAAATTACATTGTATACTATATGCTACAACTACATAAATCTAACTTAAATAATTTTTCCTTGTATTGTATTCATGTCGAGGTAATAACAGGTGTCATGCGATATATCAGGTCCAAGGTTAAGACGTAGGTAGTCTTTAGCTAAAGATGGATATTCGAAAATGTATAATAAGAAAAAGTTCGAAAAATTAAGGACAATTAATTAAATACATCTGTACTTTATCAGTTTAACGAGCTTAATAAAATTTAATTACAAGCAAATGTGGGTAATTTAATGTCTACTAAATTTTCGACTATTTTATAGATACATCACCCGATAACATAAAGTAGAACATTTTAAGAAATCCGTTAAAATCACTTTTATTTATAAATGCCTCCAATTTAAGATTTAATTGGCAAATTTAATATTGCTAAGTAACATTATCCTCATGAAACATTAATCCAAAAGTTTCATGATATTCCTGAATTACATTGAGATACCTAGAAACGTTAATATAATTTGAAAATTAAATTTCTACTTCTAGTATATTAATTTATCTAGATGTTATCACTTACTAAGAAATTTTCGATATACAAATAAATAAAAAATAAATCTTAAATTATAAAATATATCATCGTTATTTATCGAGACAGATTATTATGACTATATTTTCGAATTAAACTATATTTTTAGAAATTTATCACATTTATTTAAAACTTTAATATCAATTTATTTTTAATTAAAAAAGTCGAAACTCACGTTTTCCATTACAGCTTATTTTTATATAAAAATAGCTTAAAGGTTCTCGGATAATCGACTTATAAATTAATTTTCTGCTTCAGCTATATTTCATCTTATAAGGTTACAATAAACCTCAGGCTATCAATCGCTTATAGAATTACGCTGAGAGAAACCCAAATTTATTCAATCGATAATCTAAGATTCGTCTAAAAACTAGAAAATATAAAAATTTTGGAAAGTTTTAATAATAAAACTTTAAATAAACGTATCCTTTGAAAAGATATATCATATCCATAACATAATACATATTATCGATCCAGTTCAACATCCGGAGTGTTATCAGATCACTTCCGTTCTATTGATGTTCGTCCCTCTTTACATCCTGTCACCTGGTCAATATTTCGATTTATGGAAACAAATTTCTCTTATTCAGTCGGGCGTTCATATGATGGGCAAAAAGTTAAATTAGTCTACTCTAATTAACAAACTAAAAGCTCTCTCTCTCTCTCTTTTTTGTTCTACTTTCCTGTAATTATCTATACCGGATCAGATTATTCTCTAATTATCTGAAGCATGCTGTTCATTTAATCCAGCAAAAGAAGAGATAAATCTAAATATTTCCCATTACAAATTTCACTTTTAGAACAATAGAGAGAAAAATTGTTTTCAATGAAAATAAAAAACTTTTATATTTTAACGGAAATGATTTTATAAGTCAACTACCACATATCAGATGAAAGCTTTATAAACAACCATGCCGTATGAATCATGCATCAGTTATTTTCCATTCACACCCTTTTACGGAACCTGTATGCAGTCACACTAAACGATGTAGAACAGTTTTGAAGGGCGTCGGTCGTATCTTTAAGCAAGATATACATTAAACCGTTATTGTTTGCATTTTAAAGATAATATATCTTTAAAATGCAAACAATAACAGTTTAATTTGGATAAGCTTTGCTACAGGATATAAAAATTTTACTTTTTTAATTTAAAAATAATAATAATATATATATATATATATATATATTGTATTTTTAAGGTATTACTATAAGTCCAGCTATATTTAATAACTTATTGATAAATATTTTAAATTTTTTTACTGGATAATGATTCAGATAAAAATTGACCTGACTAAGGAATAGGGAAAAATAGAAGTAGGAAATCATAAATTTTCAGATAATTTTTTTTTTTAACTGACATACTGCAAACAGGTGTGGCTCTACTAAGGATGAGGTCAGTCACATTAATAGAAGAAAATGGGTCAAGAAGTAATACAATTACTGTTGGTGTCTTGCTCCAATATAAAATATCTTGAAGTTTAATTCTTAAACTAAATTTATTTCATAAATAAATTATTTGCATTTTATACAGTGAAATATTGAAATATATATTAAGAATACAGGAAAAAATAATTTAAATGAAAATAATTAAATATAATTAATTATTTCATTTTTTTTTTCTATCATAACCTAAAAATGAAATGAAATGGCCTGGAACTAAAAACTTATTTAATGATTTCAAAATTTACAAGTATAATGCAGTACAACATATTAAAAGATTGCATAGTAGTAAATCCTTCATTAATTTTCTCTTCTGTAAATCCATTCATTGATAGTATATGGGTCAATGATATGTTATGTACTGTGTTCTTTGGATAGGACACACAAAAATAAAATATTATATTATTAATAATGTAAAATTTTTATAAAT